CAGATACACATTTAGGAAGTATTACACTCAGCAGGTAGAGTTGTGGTCTTAAATAGACAGATCTCAAACCATAACTACTACCAATGCTACATATGGGAGACTCTAGATAGGCCTACTAATTGGATTAGCCATTACTATAAATAGGATATAGTAGACCTTACATCACATGTCTGACCACAGTCAAAGCGCATACACAAGCGTATACCTATTTTTAGCTCTTCAAGGAATTCCCCCATATCATAAAAATATATATATTACTATGAAAGTTGCATCAGAAATAGAATTAACATAAGTAGTATTCGTGACCTGTGAACCCTACAAGGCTATAGCTACAAGTGATAAATTCCTTACTATTAAAAGATATGCATAGCCACACAAAGAGGCCTTAGTCCCTACAAATATGTTATTATAGTGCTACTACCTCATCTTCCTCTTTAGAGCATTCTTCAAATTACTTTTTGCTCTCAGTTTTTCTTGCTCAGTGTAATGTCATTGTCCTGGCAACCACAAAATGCCCTTGAGGCTTATCCCCTGAAGGTTTAATTTAAATAGGCAATCAGCTCTAGGCATAACCAATAATAACAAGACAATGAAAAGATGTACAAGTTTGAAACAAGGGGTACTATAGTTACACATGTTTATATTATTAAAGACAAATTTAAGTTGTATAGAATGAATGGATATGACAGACTGACAAAACAACTACCTATTATAACCTATACTTCACATATATCATGTACTATATACATGTAGGTTAAGCCAATGACCTTTAAGATCCTAATCACTACTCCTAATCTCCTAATAATCTGTGTCCTAAGCCACTAAGCCACAAATCCCACCATTTGTACACTGACACCTAAACCTTCTACCCTCAACTTTGTAATGCTCACAGTCATTTAGCATCACGATTTGCATCATTAGCTGACTGTTTGAAATGGTTTGGATGAGCACAGACTGGCTTCACCACAAGTGAGTGGTCAATATGACAAAAACATCATTCATTACTCATACTCTACCTCATGTATAGCATATCGTATTACATGTACATAAACACATGCATACATGTACATGGGTATCAGCATTCATAATACACTCAAAGTGTATCACATTATGATTCACATTGACTCCTGCATCATACTTTCACATGTACATCAGTCACTAAGTAGGACATATCCTATACACTCAATGCATAATGTCAATATTTGATGTAGTGCTATATTGTACATGTCAGTAACATTACAATCGATCTCACATTTTTAAATGCATCAAGTAACAGAGAAACTTATCTATACTTGTACAATGTACATAGCAATAAAGTAATTTTCTACTTTTCTCTCCCTCCCTCCATCTCTCTCTCTCTCCCTCTCTCTCTCT